GCAGGGAGCCCGATGCGGGACTCGATCCAGGGACTCCAGGATCATGACCTGAGCCGAAGGCAGTCGCTTAACCAACTGAGCCACCCAGGCGCCCGGAAACTCCATTTCTTACAAGATACCACCTTTCGGGCGCCTGCCTTCGGCTCGGGTCATGGTCCCGGGGTCCTGGGATCGAGTCCCACATCGGGCTCCCTGCTTGGCGGGAAGCCTGCTTCTCCCTCTCCCACTCCTTCTGCTAGTGTTCCCTCTCTCGCTGTGTCTCTATCAAATAAATAAATAAAATATTAAAAAACGAAAAACAAGATCCCACCTTTCATTTAGAGGGGAAACTGAGGCACAGGGGGGCTGGGGCCTGGGAAACACCAGATAGGAGCTAAGTAGGCGACTGCGCACGGGGCAGCCAGTAATGGGAGAGGGTGGGTTCCCAGGGGTTGGGACCTCCGGATGGGATCGGTCCTCTCCTTCTGCTTCCACCCCTATCAACCAGACAGAGACACACAGAAAGGCAGAAACGACGGACAGACATCGAGTGAGAAAAACAATGACTTAGAGAGGTGAAAGAGAAACCCAGAGATGGCGAGATAATGGAGAGAGGGGAGCAGAGACAGACAGACAGTGAGACAGGCAGATTCATAGACAAAGTCAGAAAAAGACTAGGCAAGGCAGAGACAGGCCTATTGCAACCAAGAGCCAGAGCAAGAGATGCAGACACAGACTTAGAATCCGAGGGACACGACAGACCCAGAAAGGGCCACCCCCTAGGGAGACCCCGGGCTGCCCCGTCGGGGGACGCGCCAAGAGCGCCCCCACCCCGCCCCCGTCGTGCCTGGACCGTGACTTCAGAGTCCGCGCGGATTCTATAAATGGCCAAGCGGCCGCGGGCCGGGGGCGGAGCCGAGTGAGTCAGCGCTTCGCGTCACCGCCGGCAGGACCCCACCAGGCCCCGCCCCTGCCCTCGCCCCTCCTGGGCCGCCAGGGGGCGCCAGCCGCCTGCTCCGCCAAGGCGTGGGTTCTCACTTGCGCAGTAGCGACCTGTGACCCCGCTGGGGGGGCGGGGGGGGGCCGCCCGGCGTGGGCAGGATCCCGGAATCTGCGCGTTCGAGTCCCGACTGCGTCACTCTCGCGCTGTGTAACCAGGCAGTCGGCTTCACCTCTCTGTGCCGCATACAGACCCCACCTCAGAAGACTGTTGTGAGGAATGAGTTAACAGACCCAATGCACTTAGAATATAGAATAGCAGGACCTAATTGTTAGCTCATTCTACGTATTTTAGTCACCTTGCCCTTAGCATATTGGTTGAACCCAGTGGTTCACAAACAGGAAAGATATGCCCCCCCTCCCCAGGGACATTTGGCAATGTCTGGAGACATTTCTGTTTGTAGAGACTAAGGGAGTGCTCTAGGCACCTAGTAGATAGAGGCTGGAGATGCTGCTTAAAGTCCGAGGAGGCCCAGGAGAGACTCCAGCCAGGAAGAATTATCCAGCCTTGATGTCGACAGTGCTGAGGGTGAGGAACCCTGACAGCCTGGTAGCATTAGGCACAGGAGCCTGGCTTCAAATTCTGCTCTGCCACTGACGCCGTGTGACACTCGGAAACGGATTCCACATCCCGTGCCTCAGTTTCCCCATCTGTAAAGTGTGCATAATAACAGCATCCGTTTCTGAGGTTGTTTTGAAGCATGAGTTGATACACGTACAGTACTTGTAACAGGGCCTGACATGGGGGTGGCTGTCATATTAGCATGTCACAGCTGTGTCCTTAGCATGTGGCCAGCATGTCCTTAAGGTATCATCAGTATATGGCAGGTTGCTGACATGTCATCCAGATGTCACTAACATCGCCTTGACATATGTGGCATGATGTGGTCATGTCATCCAGGGGTGAGATCTGGCCAGATGGGGCTGTTTGCAGGTGTTCCCTCCAGGCCACCCTGGCTGGAACAGGGAAACACAGGGGGTGTCCATGGCCTGGAACCTGCTAACACAGTCACTCCATGGCAACCCACAGGTAGTGGAGAGGGTAACATCCACGATCTCTGCTCCCCCAGATCCTTACGAGGGACTGGAGGGGACAGAAGTAGGGTGCCAGATGCTCATTGGAAATACTGCGATTATCCTGAGTCCTTCCCTGTGCCAGGCACTGCACACTGGGCATGCACTATCCATTAGCCCACTTTACAGATGTGGCAAGAGAGGTCCACTTAGAGACTGTTGGTGTCTGGAGTTAAACCCAGGGTGGTTCTCACTAAGCTACCATGGGTTGCAGAGAGACGAAGAGAGATGACCTCAGAGACAAGGAGAGATGGCCTCAGTGACAGACACAAAGAAGCCAGGAGGCCCAGCCAGAGGTCCGATGAACGGCAGAGGGTCGGCAAGGATGGGGAAATCTTCATCTCTTATGACCAAGCCCCCCCACCCCAAATAATAGCCCAGGCCGCCCCCCTAGGTGGAAACAATGACACAATCAGCTCCCAATACCAAGGCCCTGACATCACGGGGGGGGGAGGGGAGGGGGAGGGGGGAAGATGGCCGAGGTGGGGGTTGCCCCGCCCCTTGGCAGGCCCCTGCAGCCAATGGGACGACCTTGGAAGAGGCCCGGGCCGCCTCCAGAGCTTCAAAAACGTGTGAGGAGGGAAGAGTTTGCAGACGGAGCCTTAGCAGCTGCCTCGGTCCGGTCCTCAGAGGGTCCTCAGAGCTACTGCTACCGCGGCCCACCACCAGCCGGCATGTCCTCTGCTCACTTCAACCGGGGCCCCGCCTATGGCTTGTCGGCTGAGGTCAAGAACAAGGTAGGGCCCCCGCTTGGCCCACACACCCTGGCAGGCCAGAGGCTCTGCTCTTGGGGTTCCCTGGACCCCCTCTTGCCTATTCCATGTGACTTGGAACCAGAGAGGGAAAAAGGACAGATACGGGGTAGGGACCGCCTTACTCCCCATCCAGAGCATCCCAGAGCCCTCAGCTACTGTTGGGGGGCGGGTAAAATGGAGGGCATGCAGGCAACCACAGGTAAACTGAGGTGGTCGGTCCCTTGTAAAGAAAGATCCCCCCTTGATCAGAGTCTCCTGTTAACCTGCCCCCCCTGTTCCTTTTGTGTTCCTGGGGCGCTGGGAAAGGACTTGATTTTCCTCACACACACCCCCATCTCAAAAAGAAACTGGGGAGTGCTTGAGAGCAGGAATTCTGGGGAAGTGAGGCCCAGATAGTGTGGGAGATCCTGAAGGGAGAGGGAGACAGCTGGGGAGGTCAGAGAGTGAGCATTAGGGACATGGCAGGTATCTCCTAATTTTGAGCTGGGAAAACATCCAGATACCACCTTCATGCTATGGATGGGTAAACTGAGGTTCAGAGAGGAGAGGCGAGTAGCTTGGGTTCTACGTAAAGGAGCTGCAGAACTAGGATCCTGGCCTCACCCCCCCTGAAACACACACACCCGGGAATGGGGTTCAGCTTCTCCAGGGCAGTGAACTTCTAACTCCCTGGAATGCTCCCCTGAGCGTTGCCAGGAGTCCCAGCGCTCCATTTGACAGAGGAGAACACTGAGGCCCGGGGTGGCTTTTCCCAGCGTACAGCGAAGAAGTGGGGAGCTGGGATTGGATCCTGGGCGGGGGGATCCTCGCGGCTGGAGGAGGGGGCTGGCTGGGGGCGGGTGCTCGGGCCGGGCGGGATCCTAGCGCGGCCCCCCTCCCCCCCGGCGCCGGCCCCAGAGCCGCGCGAAGCCGCCGCGCCATATAAGGCGGCCTCGGGGAGCCCGGCCCGCCGGGCCGCGCTATATAAGGGCCGGTTTGCTTTATAAAGCCGGGCTGGTGGGGAGGGGGGCGGCAGGGCCGGGGCCAGGTGAGGGGCCGCCCCTTCCCACCTCCTCCTCCCCCAGGAGAAGGGGCAGCTCCGTCCCCCAGAGTCTTGGAAGCCTGACTGGGCTGGGGCGGAGGGTTCTGGAGAAACGGAGGAGGCAGAGTGGCGAGTGGGGGGAGAGGGCGAGAGTGGCCGACGGAGATGCTGGGAGCCCGAGACTTGAGAGGGATGGACAGGGAGGGGGAGCCACGAGCCAGATAAGACGGAGACAGGGATGGTGAGGCCGGGAGAGGAGACAGATGAGCCCCAGCCCCCACCAGAGGCAGAGAACCTGGAGTCGGAGACCAGAGCGACCCGGGCCAGGAGCCCCACCCCCAGCCGGGCACGGAGAGATGGGGACAGGAAGACAGGGCCAAGGACAGACAGAGCTGGGGAGAGACAGAAGGCAAGGGGACGGAGAGAGAGAGAGAGAAGTACAGCCGCGCGTGCATGGGGCCAGGAGTGAGACAAAGACCGGCCCCCAGAGCCTCCAGCCAGAGCCGGAGCCCAGGGGGTGAGGACCTGGAGAGACACTGAGGCAGAGAGACACGCAAGACAGAACAGTCCCCTGCAAAGCAGTACTCAGAGCCACCTCCTTAGGGTGCCTCCTCCCCTGCCTGAGGCGCCCAGGCTTCCAGCTGGGGGTTGGGGGGCAGGGCCGGGGGAAGCTAAGCCCCAAGTTTGGCCTGGAGGCGGGGACCGAGAGGCCAGGCACCGCCCCCCAGCTCTGAATACCCTGCTCTCCAACCTCCCCCTTGTCGGCATTCTCTGGTGCCAAACCTCAGAATGTCCGGAATGGCCCCCTGGGCAGGTGCCACCTCAGCCCTGGCCTTTGGCCCACTTCAGCCCCCCCCCATGGACGCTGAATTGCCATAGTTGGGAAGGGATGAGGAAGATCGGGCCTAGGGAACCTCCGATTGGGTCCAGAGAGTTCACTCTGCTCCCCCACTGCGTTCTTACCACCTTCTCTGTGTCCCCCACCCCCAGCTGGCCCAGAAGTATGACCACCAGCGGGAGCAGGAGCTTCGAGAGTGGATCGAGGGGGTGACAGGGCGCCGCATTGGGAACAACTTCATGGATGGCCTCAAAGATGGCATCATTCTTTGCGAGTGAGTGGAGCCTGCACTGCCTTGGGCTGCCCCCCAACCTGGACATTCGTCCCTACCCCCTCAACCCCTCAAACAACTATGAGCTCAGAGCTGGGTTAGATACTTTATAGCTGAGACCTTGAAAGAGCGGTGGCAAAGAATCATTGTGCCCATTTAACAGGAAAGAAAAAGGAGGCTCAGTTAAGTAAAGCACATCGCCCAGAGTCCCAACCTGTTCCAACAGAAATGACCAGAATCTAGGCTTAACCACCATGCAGACAGGGCAGGCCCATTTATGGTCTCCAGAGTTCCAAGAAAGAGAGGTTCCAAGAAAGAGTTCCAAGCATAGTGTGGAGGAACAGCTAAAAGCAATAGGCAACAATGGCCGTTCATCACTGGCTTGGTGATATGAGAATTAAGCCACAGTAATTTAAGTAGGCCCTGGTTTTCTACTCTTCTCAGAACTTAAATCACCGAGAGGAATGAAAATCCACGCAGCTCCCAAGCCCTGGTTCCAGATTCCACAGTGACACTAATGCTGGATAAGGCCCTGAGCCCAGTGGGGTCCTGTCTGTATCTCTGAGTCTCATCCAGGGCAGGGTGACCGTGATGGCCAAAGGGTGACCTTGGGGAGCTTCCCAAAGGTGCAGCCTTACCAAGATCTAGGTGCTGGAAAGGTGGCATGGTGGGGGGATCTTATTCTACCATATCCAGTGGGAATAAGGAATAGGGGAACATTTTGGTATCCCAGCTCAGACAGGGTTGCTCGGGCATTAAAGAGCGCAGAACCACCCACCCACTCAGTCATTCATGTGCCAAGAATTTATGGAACACCTACTGTGTGCTAGGTCTAGGCACTGGGGCTAGTGAACAAAACAGACTTACCTCCGAGCTCACACAGGGCTTGAGTCCTAGTTTGGGAGATCAAATCAATGAAATAATCCCTTTTTGGGTTGCTGCTTTGTACAGGATGGTCTGGAGGTCTTTCAGAAGAGGTAGCATTTGAGCAGAATCTTGGATGAAGTGAGTGAGGGAGTTGGGAGGGCATCTGAGGAAAGAGTGGGCCAGGCGGGGGGTGGGGGGAACAGTGGTGCAAAGGCCCTGAGGTGGGAGCAAGCATAGTGTGTTGAAGGAACAGCGAGGAGAGATTAGGGGAAGTGAAGTTAGCTGGGGGCCAGATGATGTAGGGCCTTTTAGTCTTGCTAACGGATTGGGATCTGTATTCTGAAGGGAAACCATGGGGCAGTTTTGAGCTGGGGAGTAACTGGAATTATTTTGAAAAGGCCATTCTAGCTACAAGGGTCTTCAGGGGACGAGGTGGAAGCTGGGTGCCACAGGAGGCCCCTGCAAGAGCCCAGGAGAGAGACAGGGGCAGCTCAGAGCAGGGCGGAGGTGGCAAGGAGCCATAGGCTTCTGAATGTCTTCAGAAGGCAGAGCTGGCGGACGTGCTGAGGGGTTGCGTGTGGGAATGGGAGAAAGGGGTAGGAGAGTCAAGAGCAAATCTGAGGGCTTTGCCTGAGCGCCTGGGAGGATGGAGGGAGTTGAGCTGGGGGAAGTGGGTGTTTGGAGTCTGGGGTGGGGTGCATTTGATTCGAGATGCCAGGTAGGGCGCTGGATCGGCGAGTGAGAGGCCTGGCTGCAGGGAAGTGGTGGGGAGTTGTTGGCGGACCGGTGGCATCAAAAGGCGAGAGACTGGAGGAGATCAAGGGGGTGAGTGAGGCCAGAGAAGGGAAGTCGGAGGCCTGAGCTGCGGGCTCTCCACAGTGCAGGCTCCCCCTAAAGGCCAGGAGATAGAAATGTGGTCACCAGGGAGGGGGCATGGAGCAGCAGGAGACCCCTGCATAGCAGGGGTGAGGGGGCTTTCTGCCAGAGACCCGAGCCCAGCTCCTGAGAGGTTAGTTTGCCATCTGAGTCCTGCCTGGGTGTGCGAGGTGGATCAGTGGGGCTGCAGCTGAGCTGGTTGTAGTAGGAAACGGCAAAATCGCCCACTGGCTGTCATCCTGACCCCTTTTCCCACTGGGTTGGGCATGGGTGCGGAGGGGGGGGCTCACCTTTCTCACTGCCTTCCCTGACCCCTTGTAGGTTCATCAATAAGCTCCAGCCAGGCTCCGTGAAGAAGGTCAATGAGTCGACCCAAAATTGGCACCAGGTGAGCCCAGGCTCTGTTTTAACTCTTTCAACCCCTGGCCCACAGCCCCTCAGCCCCCCGCCCTGCTCCTGCTCCACTGACCACCACCTGCTCCCCTCCAGCTGGAAAACATCGGCAACTTCATCAAGGCCATCACTAAGTATGGGGTGAAGCCCCACGACATTTTTGAGGCCAACGACCTGTTTGAGAACACCAACCACACCCAGGTGCAGTCCACCCTCCTGGCCCTGGCCAGCATGGTGAGTGTGGCCAAAGGGTTGGGGCGTGGGGCCGTGGGGGGGGTGGCTTTGGAGGGTCTGGGCTGTGAGTGGGGCCCAGCCCAGTGTGGGTGGGAGGGGAAAGAGCAGGTACCAGGAGGGGACAATGTGGCCCGGAGCTCCCTTGTCAGCCCCCTGCTCCCTTTGCCCTCCCCAGGCCAAGACGAAAGGGAATAAGGTGAACGTAGGGGTGAAGTATGCAGAGAAGCAGGAACGGAAATTTGAGCCAGAGAAGCTAAGAGAAGGGCGGAACATCATCGGGCTGCAGGTACTGGCCCTTCCTCACCTGGGGGTTTTGCTGCTGAGCTGAGCCGGGAGGTCGAGGAGGCCCCCCCCTCCGCACCCATGCCCAACCCAGTGGGAAAAGGGGTCAGGATGACAGCCAGTGGGCGATTTTGCCGTTTCCTACTACAACCCAGGTCCCTGCGGGCTTTGGGGCACAGGATATTTGGCTTTAACTCACATGTATGGCAGGCACTGTGCTTGCCATTTTCCATACCCTAACTCACTCCTCCAGCAGCCCTAAGGAGTGGGTGCTGTTATCATTGCACCCTTTATGCGGATGAGGAAACGGGGGCCTGGAGAAGCTACTTCACTTGCCGGGGTTGCCCAGGTGATAAGTGGCCCAGCTGGGGCTCAAACCCTGGAAGTCAAGCCCCAGTGGTCTGAGCCACTTACAGGTTGTGGGACATGCCTTTTCTGGGCCTGTTTCCAGTCCAGAGCCCGAGAGTGGATGCAGTGGCTCATTAGAGGGCCATGCAAGTGTGCACTGACATGCTACGTCCCATGCTATGCCCGTGGTGAGGCTCTGTGACCCTTGGGATGATTCTCCTTCTGGCTTCCTAGATGGGCACCAACAAGTTTGCCAGCCAGCAGGGCATGACAGCCTATGGCACCCGGCGTCACCTCTACGACCCCAAGCTGGGCACGGACCAGCCCCTGGACCAGGCCACCATCAGCCTGCAGATGGGCACCAACAAGGGAGCCAGCCAGGTGTGGGGGGGTCATGGGGTGGGGCTGGTGGGGCCCCTGCCCTCCGCCGTCCCCAGGGTCTGATCGCTGTGTCCTCTGCAGGCCGGCATGACTGCACCCGGGACCAAGCGACAGATCTTCGAGCCAGGGCTGGGCATGGAGCACTGTGACACACTCAACGTCAGCCTGCAGATGGGCAGCAACAAGGGGGCCTCACAGCGGGGCATGACAGTGTATGGGCTGCCACGCCAGGTCTATGACCCCAAGTACTGCCTGACGCCCGAGTACCCGGAGCTGGGCGAGCCCACCCACAACCACCACGCGCACAACTACTACAACTCTGCCTAGGGCCCTGGGCCCCCCACCCTGCCTTCCCCCCCCAGGGAGGCTAGCTGCTGCTCTCGGCACGGCCGAGCTGGCCCCGCCGACCCCCTCCCCCTGCATGGCGTCCTCCAGCCCCCTGGCACCTGCCTACAGGGTTAGCGTTGCGGGGGGGGGGCAGACTGGGGGCGTGTGTGTCGGGGGGAAGGGGGCCCTCCTCCCTGGAGCGCCGCAGGATCCAACATCGAGCCGGGTGTGCCCAACAGCACCCAAAGGACGCACTGAGCAAAGCTACCCCAGCTGTCCCCCCACTCCCTCACAGGTGGGTCCCCGCAGGACAAGAAGTCCCCCCAGGCAAAGCCCCCAGAGCCCAGGCTCGGCCCGCCCCCACCCCATCCCCGCAGTGGGAGCAAACTGCATGCCCAGAGGCGCAGCGGACACACGCGGTTTGGTTTGCAGCGACTGGCATAAAATGTGGATGTGACAGCGGCGTTTGTAATGCAAGCACTTTCTTTTTCTATTTCACTGGAGCACAATAAACAGCTGTAAAATCATCCTCTCGGGGCTGCTCTGTCCTGGAGCCTGCGTGGCTCTGGCTCACGTGCCGAGAGCCTTGCTCGGATCCACTCCATCTCCCACGTACACAGCGGCGCAGACACACACACACACACACACACACACGCTGTGAGACACACACATGGAGCCCGCGGCCGCGCAGCTGGACCCAGGACAGGCACGCACTCACACACAAAATCCGCACACATGCACTACTGTGTGCAGATGGCGAGCGCATACTCTGCAGCCTTGGGCGCGCGCGCGCACACACACACACCCCTTTCATAGATACGCACATGCGGTACACGCTCCCACTCCAGACACATCAGCACACACCCTTGCCCACATACACAATACCCACACACATGCTCGGCACTCGCCTGCCTCTCTCGAAAGCCTGGGGTTGTGGTGAAAAAGCCCGAGCGCTGGGACAGGCTAGGTGGGGTGTGAATCATGGTTCCGCTTCGCACTAGCTGGGTGACCTGTGGCAACTCACTTGCCCTCCCTAGGCCTGTTTTCCCATCAGGAAGATGAAGACAGAGAGCCTCCTGGGGACATGGGGAAGCTGACATGAAACCGTGCCTCCGGACAGGGGATGACATTTGGCACTGACCGATGAGAATGGACAAGCTGAGTCCCGGAGGCCCCCGTGGGCAGCTGGGCCCCTTCCGCCCTGGAGTGGATTGTGGGCAGGTGGGAGGGGACAAGGCAGTGGAGGAGGATGGGCACTTTGGGGGCCCAAAGCAATGGCCCTTTAAAGACTGGCACAGAGCCGGTGAGTAGCTGACTGCCCGGCGCAGCTGCCCTGTGCGCCCGGCTGACTCTCTGCCCTCTTCTTAGGGCTGATTCCCGAGCCTGGCCTGCCAGCCCAGAGCCCTAGGAATGTGTGGACAGCCTCAACCTCCCCACATTTCCTAGGGGACCCTGTCCTCCAAGTGATGTGGGCCCCAGCTGTCCTGCCCGGAAGCCACCACCTGCAGAGTTCCAAGGAGAGGATGGGGTGGTGGCGGCGGGGGTTAGAGAACTGTTCTCCCCTTCCTTCCCCGTAGCAGGGGATGATGCTGGAACATGGGGACTTGCAGAGACAGACACCGGAAGACCCGCATGCACAGACGCACACAGCCCCTGGGGCCTTGTAAAAGGGATTCCAGGCGCTCTCGGCCTGGCTAGTGTAGGTCCTGCTCCTCCAGGGCCAGCATGGGGAAGCTATGCTGAGGAGGATCCATGCCTGGCCCAGGGCCCTGCCTCCTCGGGAAAACAGCACCATATTAGCACTTGGCCTGTGTAACTGGGGTGGGCAGGCCCTGGAAGCCAGAGGAATGAGCCCCCTTTCTGCTGGACCACCGAGGGCACCCCCCACCCAGGCGCCTGTCCAAGGCTCTGCCCATGCCCACTGGCTCCTGCCTTGGCCAGGGGACCTTACCTGGGACTTTGGAGGGGGAGGTGGGAACACCTGGGAGGGGCATGTCAGGGGCAGGGTGGGTCTGGCGGGGGGGGGCACATGCTGGACCCAGCGGCTGGGCCTAGTGGCCCAGGCTCCCAGCCAGCTCAGCATCTCCCTCCCTCGGCTGTTCACACCCCTTACTGCCCTGGGTGGGTCCCAGTCACTCAAACCCGGGCACTCTGCCAGGCCCCTCCAACCTCAGCATGGCCCCAGAAGGTTCCATCATCCTTCCTGCTATATCAAGGATTGCAAAGCACAGGTCACCTGGTGCCCAGGCTCGAGGCTGGGTACAGGTGCTGATCGGCCCCAGGCTGTCAGAGCATCAGGACCTCCGTAATTGCAGGACCGTCTGAGGGCACCATGCAATGCGCAGGTGTTCAGCATCAGCCAGGTTCAGAGGCATTTTTTCCAAAACCACCAAGCAATTCACTCAATTCCGACACGACCTAGAGACAGCATCAGATCCCGCAGGGTAAGGGCTCAGTCTCATGAAACTGTCCCTCCACTTTCAGGCCCATTGCCAAGTCCAGGTTGTCACCTGTGCTTCTCATTGACCAGCAATAGATCCGGGATTCCCCCTGACCACCTACTCAGGTTTGATTCATTTACCAGAGCGGCTCACAGAACTCAGAGAAACATTGTATTTTTTTAGATTACAGGTTTATTAGAAAAGAATTTAAATCAGGAACAGCCAGATGGAAGAGGTGCCCGGGGCCAAAGTGTGGGGACGGGGCGTGGAGCTCCCATGCCCTCCCCAGGTGTCCCCCTCTCCCAGCAGCTCCACAGGTTCACCATCCCCGAGCTCATCAAATTGTGTTGAAGTTTTTATACAGCTTAACCTGCAGCCCTCCTTTCTCTTCCTCAGAGGTTGTGGGTGTTACTGAGGGTCCCACTCAGTGATCACACCATCTTTTGGTGATCAGCATCAACTCAGTTGTGATCAAAAGGGGCGCCTTTGAGTGACAAAAGACACCATCATTCAGGAAACTGCAAGGGTTTGAGGAACTCTGTCCCAGGAACTAGGGACAAAGGCCACTATTTATTGTATCACACACGTGCATCTGGCCCCACCTCCAGCCTTCAGTGACCCCTCATCACCTCTGGAAAAAGGTCCCTTTCACGGACCCTTCATCTTCTACAGTGTTCTCACTTCCTCCCCAAGGAAGCCATGAGCAGGTTCCTTAGCCTGGACCCTGGACTCATAGGAAGGCAGACCCTGGGCTATGAAGCCAGGCCTCCTGGGTTCAAGGCCCTGCTCTGCATCCTTTTGGCTCTGGGACCTCGGGCCAATGACTTCCCATCTCTGGCCCAATTTGTCACTGTGAGCCCAGGGCACCCGCCTCACAGGAGGGACAGGGTGGGCCTGGAATGTTACTTCCGTTAGGCTGCCCCCCAGGAAGCCTTCTCTGATTGCCCCAACCAACCCCCCAACCCACCCCAGGCTCCAGTGGCCCCATTTTGTTGTGCCTGTAAATGCCTGGCCAGACAGCTGTGGGTTCACCCATGTTCCTTGGGCCCAGCACTACCCTGGTTTCACCCTGAATGCCTGTTGCGTGGACAAAATGGACATTTGGGGACTAACCAAACCCCATCTCCAACGGCCCGCCAGGCCACCTCCGAATGCTTCCGTCTCCCCCTCTCCCTCACTGAGCCCCTGGGCCTGACCCAGAACCCAGGAAATCACAGAGAGGCAGGAGTCTGCATCGGCTGCTTTATTTAAGGGCTTGTGGCTGACAGATATCCCCGACCCAGCCCCTCCTCCTCTACAAAAGCAACTAAACATGAAAAGGGGCTGTTCTGCCAGGGCTCAGCCAAGGGGGCTACAGGACCGTGGCTCTGAATCTCAGGCCACAGGCCTTGGAAGGCAGGGAAGGAGGGAGGGCAGTCCAGTTCAAATGGGCAAGGTGCTGGTGAGGTGGGTGAGGAGGCTGGAGGGTCCTGAGGCAGCCTCTGCTGGCCTTGTCCTTGCCCAGAATGTCAGAACACCGGCTCTGACGAGGAGCAAGCAAGTTAAAGGCTTTCAGAGCCAAGTGAAGCACTTCAGGCTCCCCCCAGGGGCGGGGGGGCAACAACCCCACTTCACCTCCAGTCCGTTCCCACAAGCACACTGCCACGGCCACGCTTGCGGCCGCACACACTCACACTCACACCCACTCCATACACGCAGAGGGCTGTGAAGGCCCTGGACCCACACCCTGGACCCTGGAATGTCTCTGGACTGGTAGCCAGTGGGGCAGGTCCACGGCAGGCGGCACTGCCAGGGGAGTGGGTCCTCGGCATTGCTACTGATTGGCGGCCTCGCAGGCATCTATCCAATCGCTGTACACGTCCACTGGTTCTGACAGATCTGGGCCGCTGAGGTCAAGGGCGACTGGTGGCACTGGACCCCTTCCCTGTACACACCTCTCCCCGGTGTCAGCCAGGTCCCCGCCCTGCACCCTACATATACCAGCAGGTGGCACCTCTCTTCCCCTGGGCAGTCACAGCCCTGCACGGCGGCAAACAGCAGGACCGGAGGAACAGAAACCGGAGGCCAGTCCCCCTGCTCCTGGCCAGGTGCCCCAGGGCAGCCCATCCGGGGCAGGGGAGCCCTAACTGCCCCCAACCCTCCACTCCCCACCTCACCCCACCTTCCAGGAAAAGCCCGGCTTCCCAAGGATACATGTGATGGGTGTCTGGAATTCCTCTAGGCACACGGTACAAGAGATGACTCCGGTGTTGCGGGCACGATCCCTGGAACAGGAGGAGGTGGGGGGACTGGTGAGTAAAGGAGCCTGTGTCTCTCGGTGAGGACCTCCCTACCTGGGAAGGTCTGGGGCAGAAAGGAGGATGGTGGGAGCAGGGAAGCTGCCTCCCGACTTTGAGAGGAGAGGGGCGGCCCCGTCCCCCACTCACATTTTTACGTCACAAGACTTCTCGTGGTTGCAGAAGGGGCAGGTGAACTGGGTCTCTAGGGTGCCGGTCATCTTCTTTTTGGGGGGTGGCTTCCGTTTCGACTTTCTGCGCCCCATGTCTGTAGGAGGACAAACCTGGGGGAGGGGCAGAAGTCAGCAACTCAAGGGGACCCACAGAGCCCTCCAGCTTGACGCTCTGGGAAGCAGGCGGGGCTGGCACCTCAGGCTCCGCCCCTGAGGGAGGAGACTCCCAGGCCCCAGGCGGGCGGACAATCCAGGCCCACTCGGTGCAGCGGGGATGGGAGCACGCTCTGGCATCAGGTAGCCTGAGCTCTAATCCTGGCCCTCCACTTACTGGGTGACCTCAGGCTGGTGACTTAAACTCTGTGCCTCAGTTTCCTTTTAGTAAAACAGAGATGAAGCTGCTATTTCAGAGGGGTCTTGTGGGGCTGCCACACCACATGGTAAGTAGAGCGCCGAGCACAGAACCTGGCCCGTCCGTAATCGGCACCCACACAGGATGCCACTGTTCCTTCTGAGGATGATAGGAGAGACTCTGACAGACCAGCGGCACAGGGCTGGGCAGGGCCTGAGTGCTCAGAAGCCGGTGATTTTTAGGAGCAGCTGCTCCTCTTGTCAAAGGGACATGCAAGTTGCACCCAGGAGGAATGACACTCAAGGAATTTGACAGATCCTCCGGATGAACCTCCTGGGCTGCCTCTCCACAGATAAAGAGCTGTTGGGCAGAGAAGAGGGGACAAGCATTTCCAGTAGAGAAACGCCACATACCAAGCCTGAGGACAGGCGTCTGAGGGCCCCGCCAGCATTTGGGGACCATACAGGCAGGGGTGTGGGGAAGGCTAAGGAGGGAGCAGGGGCAGGTGGGAGGGGTTTGGATGGATCCTGGGGGCAGTGGGGAGAGGAAGGATGAAATCTCTGCCTTAATAAGGCATCGAGGAGAACAGGTCAGAGGTCTGAATGCACATGAGGTCAGAACCAGGACCTGGAGGGATGGCAGTGGCTGAGAGACTGAGACCAATCAGTGGAGCGAGTGTGGCGAGAGAAGCAGGGGTCCAGGATGACTCCTAAGGTGGTGGGGGATGGAGAGGCTGGATGGGGGAGAAGGTGGCATCATTCTCTGATGTCTAATGCACAGGAAGAACAAGATGTTGGGGAAATGATGGGGTCAAGTACCAGAGGGACATCTAGGGACAGACATCTTGGAAGCAGGGGTGACAACTGAGCCTATCTCCCATGGCAGGCACTGTGCTCAGGGCTCAACGATCACCAGACCTGGGAATGCCTTCCCAAGGCACTCTCCCCTCTCGCCGCTCCCCCTCCCCCACCTGTGTGGCTTTAGCATCATTCTGCCCTGACACGGGAGGCCAGCAGCCTGCCAAAATAAACACCAGAATTTCACTCATATTTCACAATCGCTCTCTACATACCATCCTCATTCTGAACTTAGGGTGTTCCCAGTTCTCTGAGTAAACAGAAGTAGTCCACAGAGAACATCCACAAGCCCCCAAGACCCCCCATTCTGCCTTCCCTCCTTTGCTATGGAAGAATGTCCATGTTCCCCACAAAAACAATTTGTTACCTTGTCTCCTGGGTCCCAACAACACATTTTCTCTCTCCACTCGATCATTAACAAACACAGTTATTAAATACATCCTTAAAAACAACCACCTTGTGGGGTGCCTGGGGGTCTCAGTGGGCTGAGCATCTAACTCTTGATTTCAGCTCAGGTTATCTCAGGGTCATGGGATCGAGTCCTGCGTCGGACTCCGCACACTCAGCACAGGGTCTGCTTGGGATTCTCTCCCTCTGTCCCTCCTACCACTCAAGGCCTGGGGCTCTCTTTCTAAACAAAAACACAACCACCTTTTCATTCTGTGGGCTTTTCTAGTAGAGCTGTCTGCACTCACGGCTTGCTTTCATTTCCTCCCATTCTCCCTCTACCTCCCCACCATTCTGCTCACGCCCTCCTCAGGGCACTGGACACACTGGTCCCTCCTCCCACCCTTCCCATGCGGCTCTCAGCACCCTGCACTCTGTCCCAGCCTCACTGGTGGTGCCTTTCAGTTTCTGCTGTTGCTGCTGCCCCCAGCCCCAGCCCCAAAGTCTCTAATGGTACATGAGCCCACAAGCTCAATCTTTGGGCTCCATTTCATTTGTTATTTATTTATTTTTTTAAAAGATTTTTATTTATTCATGAGAGACAGAGAGAGAGAGAGAGAGAGAGAGAGAGGCAGAGGGAGAAGCAGGCTCCCAAGGAGCAGGGAGCCCGATGCGGGACTCGATCCCAGGACCCCAGGATCATGACCTGAGCCGAAGGCAGACGCTTAACCATCCGAGCCACTCAGGCGCCCCTGGCCTCCATTTCATTTGCACTCACCTCCATGGAGATCTCGCCCTGCCTCAGGGCTTCAAATGCCTCCTCCATACTGATGCCTCCCGATTTCACCATCCTCAGTGTCTCCTCTCAACTACAGACTGGCTCGTTTAACTGCCTCGGCTACACCTTCACCTGATGTTAACACATGTTTAAACATAAGCCGTCCAAAACCAAGCTGCTGACACCTCAAGAGGCTCTTCCGGCCTTCCCCATCTCAGCAGATAACAAATCCATCTATCCAAAAACCTTGGACTCACCCTAGATTCCTTTCTCTCCCTCTCACACCCCTTATCTGATCCTGATCCTGCTGCCCTCCCTCTAAAAGACATCCAGAATCTGCCCACTTCTTGCCAAGACCATGGTCTGAGTCCAGGAGTCCTGGTCATGCTCACACAGCCTCCTCATTGGTCTCCCTGCATCTCTTTCCCTGCCCACCTCCCACCAAATGTAAATTCTATGGTGGCAGGGATTTCTGTCTTTTCTTTGTATCCCCAGAGCCTAGAACTGCTGGTGGCCCAGAGCTGGCATGCAACAAATGTTTACCGAATGAATGAATGAACCAATGCCAGGCCCTTCACTAACCACAGCAATGCTGCAATCAAGGCAGGCGAAGTGTCTGCTCCGGTGGAACCTCTATTCTAGTAGAAGCAAAGAGACCCTTGGGCGCCTGGGTGGCTCAGTTGGTTAAGCGACTGCCTTCAGCTCAGGTCATGATCCCGGAGTCCTGGGATCGAGTCCCACATCGGGCTCCCAGCTCAGTGGGGAGCCTGCTTCTCCCTCTGACTCTCTCCCCTCTCATGCTGTTTCTCCCTCGCTCGATCTCTAATAAATAAATAAAATCTTTAAAAAAAAAAAAAGAGACCCTCAACAACGTAATAAGAGAAATAATTTCAATTATCAGTAAGTGCTGTGAGATTAATCAATCAGGGCTAAGGGAATACTTCCGGAGTGGGGCTACTTCAGGTAAGAGTGGGGTGGGAAGGACCCTTTGGGTAAAAGTCATTTAAGCGGAGGCCTGAATGATGAGAGAAAGCAACCACGTGAAATAGTCCAGCTGACGGAACAGCAACTGCAAAGGCTCCGAGGCAGAGGCAGCTTTTTTTCCCAGAAAGAGAAAGATTGGTAGAGCTGAAGCTCCGTGAGCAATGGGGAGAAAGAGTACGAGATGGGGCAGCAGAGGAAAGCAGCCAGACCCCAAAGGTGTGGCCAGTTCTACAGCCCATGCTCTCACCTGCTCAGGGCAGTGTTTTGTTTTCCCAAAGCCTGGCCCTGGGTACCACCTGCTACAGAATCACCTGGGTGGGGTGGGGGGTGCTCAAAAAAATGCAGATTTCTGAACCTCATCTCAGACCTGCCCCCAGTGGAACGGGGTGGGAGGCACGATTTGCTCACTGCTGAATCCCCAGCACGGGTAGTGCCTGGTATGCATTAAGCGCTCAATAAATACTTGTTGAATGAATAAATAAGTCTCTTGAATCAGAAGGTACGGATGGGCCCCAGAATCTCATTTTACCCGGCGTCTGCTGCATCCCCAACCCCACAGCAGAAAAGGCGTCTGGCCTGTACACAAAGCTCCGGGGGCCTTAGCCACCCCTGTGGCGACCTAAGTCCAAGCGCGCCAACGGGGCCCGGAAAAGGGATCGGTCCCCAACCCTGCCGTGACTCACGCGGCGGCGAGTGAGCGGTCCCTCCAAGCTCACAGAGGTTTCGGCGACACCTCCCGCCGGCCGCCCGTGGGAGCCGGGCCACCGAGCAGCCGCGCTTAGCGGGCTGGGGTCCGGGGGAGCCAAGCTCCCCGGCAGGCCACCCCCCAAACCCGGGGTCCTCGACGCCTCCTCCTGGACCCCGTGAGCGTCTCCAAGTAGAAGATCGCCCACTCACGCCAAGCCCCAACGCCCGCCGGTGCGAACCGTCACCTACACTCTTTCCCTCGTCGCGACGGCCTCGTTCACCCGGGAGACAGTGGCTTCCGTCTCCCGCCGGAAGCAGAAACCCCCTCTCCTCCTCACGCGAGGCCGGGACCGCCCCGCGAGCAGGCCCCGCCTCCTCCAGTGCTCACGCGTACTCGCGTACCGGGCCGGGAGGCGGGGTCGTAGTGCGCCTGCGCTTTGGACTGTGGTAGTGCACACCACGCTTCTGATGAGTTCCCAGAAGTGGCTGTTACCGCGTTTCGGGAGCGGTGGTGGCTGGGAGTTTCCAGCATCGGAAAGGCTGACTTGCCCTTGGCCGCAGCATCTTCACTTGTCTTTTCTCTCAGTTCAAGCCCCACCCCCTCGCAGCCCACCTGGATCCCCCAACTGCGGACACATTCAAATATCTCAGTGCTAAGGAACAGCCAATACCAGTACGGCTGAGTCGGTGATGGGGGAGCTTGTCGGACTCTCTTCTCAAACTTCAGTAAGAGCCTGCGGATCTTCTTAAAGTTCAGGTCTGATTCATTAGGTCAGGTGTGCGGTCTAAAAGTCTGCATTTCCCAGTGACGTCCATGCTGCTGGTCCGCGGACCACCCTGTGTGCTGAAGTTATAATAGAAAAGGTTGAATAGGCATACACGGACCAGATCAGGTGGAGTTTTGTGGGCCATGTTAGGGATGTTTTGGAATTGGGGGAGGAAGGAATAAGGCTCTACGAATCCCACAATTTAGGGAAGAGGCTGGACATAAACATAAAGGATCGATTACTACACTCTTCAGTGCAGTAGAGGAATATGTGTGGATCTCAGAGCATATGATGGTGGAGGGGGCTGCCAAACTAGTCTGAGAGGTTAGGGAAGGCTTCCCTGGGAGGCTGACGCTGAGGTTGAAATCGAAGACTGAGCGGGAATTACAGAGATAGCACCTGCAGAACTTCTGATGGAGTGAAGAAGAGAAAGGGATCAAAGACAATTCCCACTGTCTGGAGCCCCTGGGTGCTGCCTCTCAGAGATGATTTGGAGGAGAAATCAAGGGTTGCGTTCTAGCCATGATTTTTGAGACAAGCAAAGAGAGGTATGGGGAAGGCCATTGGAAGTGGAGTCTGGGGTTCAGATGAAGGATCTGGGTGTGATTTTGAGAGTCATTCACCTATGGGGGTTATCTGAAGCCTTGGAGCCAGAGGAAGTCACCTCGTTTCAAGGTGGGGGGTAAAGTATAGCAAAAGAAGAGGACGAAGAAGGAGGCCAGGGCCACCCCATCCTTAGATGTTAGGAGAAGGAGTCAGCAAGAGACTGAGCGGACTGATGAGGTAGGGAGGGGAGAGAGAGGCGAGTGTCCTTTCCCAGAAGCCTCCAGAAGAAGGAATTTCAAGACAGGGAGAGTGGTCAGCTATGTCACACGTGGTTTCAAGAGAATTAACTCTGTTGACTCAGCAAGTGTTTGGTCACTGGTGACCTTGATAAGAGCTGTTTCATTAGAGTGTTCAGGAAAATAATTTGTAATGACATGTATTTAAGTTGAGCTATCTTCAAGGTATCCCCTAGGGGGCAGTGTTACCCTTGGAACTGACTAGGGGACCCTTTTTCAGTGCTGATACAAACTTGTACACACACAGGATGCGATCATACTATATATTACCTTGCAACTTGCTATTTACACTGAATAGTCAAAACACATACAAGTAGCTTTTGTTTTTAGTAGCTACACAATTCATATTGCAACTTGGCCATAGGATATGGACAATCCTATATTTGCTCACGATTGCCAGGTTTGTTTGTTTCTTTTCTTTCTCATTCTATTTTTTTTCTATTTCTCTCTCACATTCTTCCTTCCTTCCTTCCTTCCTTCCTTCCTTCCTTCCTTCCTTCCTTCTTTCTTTCCTTCCTTCCTTCCTTCCTTCCCAGCTTTATTGAGATATAAGTGACAGACAATAAATCACGGGTAAACTTTGAAATTTCGTGTTTTGACCTATGTGTACACCCATGAAACCCTCACCACAATTAAAATAGTGAATGTATCTATCACTCCCAAAAAGTTTCCTTTTTTTAAAAAAGATTTTATTTATTTGAGAGAGAGAGAGACAGAGAATGAGCAGGGGGAGGTGCAGAGAAAGAGAGAGCAAGAGGAAGAAGCAGACTCCCCACTGAGCAGGGGAGTCTCCCCGTGGGGCTCGAACCCAGGACCCTGAGATCTTGACCTGAACTGAAGGCAGACGCTTATCTGACTGAACCACTTAGGTGCCCCAGCCCCCCGAAATTTTCCTCACGTTTCGTTGTAGTCAGTTCCTGCCCCTGCCCCTAGCCCCTGGCACCAACTGATCTCTTTTCAGTTCCTATAGCTTTGTATTTTTCAGAAAGTCCTATGAACAGAATCATACATTATGTGTATAGTCTTTTGAGTTTAGCTTCTTTTGTTCAGCTTACTCGGTTTGAGACTTGTGCATGTTGTGTCTATCATTAGTTTACCTCATTTTATCACTGAGTTGCATTCCATTGTGTGCACGGACCACAGTTTGTTTATCCTTGCACCTGTTGATGGACATGGGTTGTTTCCAGTTTGGGGCAGTTATGAGTAGGGCTAGTCTGAACCATCTCATTCAGATCTTTGTGTGGATGTTCATTTTCATCTCCTATGGTGTTTTATTTCTATACTAAAAATATGTGATCCCTCTGGGTTTTAATTTTTGTCAATGGTCTGAAGTAGGGCTCAGGCTCTGTCTTCTGGGAAAATTAACAAGGCAAATAACACCTTTCCATGAAATTACAGTGCCGCCTTCAACCTGCATCACGTTCTCATGTGTTCTTGAATTTGTTTCTGGATTTCCTCTGGATGTTTTCTCTGAGCTCGTGTCATGTTGTTTGTTTGTTTGTTTGTTTTAAGATTTTGTTTATTTATTCATGAGAGACAGAGAGAGAAGCAGAGGGAGAAGCAGGCTCCCCGCGGAGCAGGGAGCCCGATGCGGGGCTCGATCCCAGGACCCTGGGATCATGACCTGAGCCGAAGGCAGACGCTTAACAACTGAGCCACCA